CCATTTTTACCCCATAAAACCCCCCATAAACCCCTGTTCCCATGGTCCGATTATGCTGGATCGCGAACTCGTTCGAATAAATGTAGGTTTACATGTTTGTGCCAAATTTCATCAAAATCGGATCATTTTTGCTCGAGTTATCGCGCTTACGGACACACACACATATATATATGAATTTGAACGGATGGTGTTTTTGGTCTCTAGGGACCTCAAAACGAAAAAAAAATCGGTCTCGCGTCCAGGTCTTACCATGAGTACTACGGTAATAGCTTATTCCATATATGGGAAATTCGCTAAAAAACTAAACCGCTGCCACCATGTCAAATAATTAAGTATTATAACGTATTTACAACTTTTATTTTAGGAATAAATGTTACAAACTGAATTAATTGTAAATACAAAACGACAACAATCTCCAGACTATCTTAATAATTACAAAAGCAATAATAAAGAATAACAAACAAATGACAGGATAAACCCATACCACCCTGTAAAAACTACACCAATCTACCTCTTCATTTTTTCCCAGTTTTAAACAGTTTTGCCAAAATCTTTAACGAGGTGGGTTGTGATGTAAAAGGTCCATCCGCCGCAACATTACCAAATCGAGCTTTGATCCAGTCAAAGATTTGCCGACTTTTGCACTGAGTATTTTTCTGTTTCTGAACCGAAACTCCTTAGTTTTGTTTGGTGTCAGTTTATTATTTCTTCTCACCCCCCGCACTCTGTCTCTCCTTGTAAGACTTTGTGATTTGAAAAAGAAAGTCCTTAACATTATCTCTGCTAAACGCGGCAACGTCCCAAAAGTGTTTTCTCACATATAACGCAAGCTAAATTATTTCCATTACATCACTAACATCACCAAATAAATTAGCAAGTTCAAATGTAAACTGAAAACAGCTTTCTTACTATAAAACAATATGTGAACGTATTGTTGTATTTGAATAAACAATCCGCCAAAATATTGGCCAACAATTAATATCATGTGGGTATTCCGCTGACATTAAAACAGAATGAGTATGGATCATGAATGAAAACAATATTACGTAATTGGCTCGAATATAAATAAACAATCTTAACTACAGGTGCTGCAAAAATGACGTAATTACCCTTAATAAAAATAGACAATCTAAACATATGATCATGATGCTGCTGTTAATATTTTTATTCTCAAATGATATTTTTATTTTAGTAATAATAAACTTTGTTTATTTTTGAGCTAGTGACGTAATTTTGACGTTTATTATAACAGCCGTTTTATCCACTATTTCGATGATATTGCGTTAAATTTATGAACATTTTTCATAGTTTTCCGACTTTTTTGTTCACTTTATCACTTCACTAACCACTTCACTTCACTTTCACTTTCACTTGTTCACTTTTTGTTTATTTATTTCACTTTACCGGGGACAATGACAATCATTTTTAAATTTATACGTTATTTAGCATAATAACAGTGGGGAAAAGTAATATTTTACGCAAATAAATATTTATTCATCAACATCATCAAGATGTCATCATTCATCAAGACCGGATTCAGATGCATTTACGAATCATGTACGATGTGATATTTTACATTATTGTACATGTACGAATGATGTTTTAGAATCGTTGATGTTTGTGAAGTTAATTTTAAGAAAAAGATTACATTCAGTTTCTCTTTATCTATTTAATGGGTGCCATCAAAGATCTAAGTGTTTAGTTGGTTCTCGCATATATATTGTGTTGCTTGTTTCATTTGGTACTTAAGGGGACTATGAATGCCCCTTCCTTGTTTGTTTTATACTTGCCGTTTTATCCACCTTTTCGATGATTGTAGGTTAAATGTATAAACATTTAATAGTTATTGACAGTTTTCATGTTTATTTCACTTTTCCTGGGACAATTATTAGTCCAGTGCAGTTAGACAAAACATGGCCTTGACCCGGACAAAATTGATAACAGGCTGAAAATTGGTGGAAACGTTCACAACAATGTCCTGAGTGGCCCACACAAAGTCCCAAGAAATCCCAGTTGGGGAACGGCCGCCATCTTGAAAAAACTGCCGCCATCTTGGAAATTTAGATTATTTGCTGTATCTTTTGACGTAATTGTCTGAAAGGCCTTATTTATGTCTCAAATTAAATGTTTTAGACTCATGGATAAGGGTAATATATGATTAAAGAGTTTAATATGTTCTAAGCATACATTTTATTTATATTTAAAAAATCTATAATAATGATATAAGTAATTTACAAAATATTTACAAAAACTAAGCTTTATCTCTTTTTGGCGAATTTCTCATGTAGGGAATGTATGAGTGTGATATATGATTAAAGAGTTTAATACATTCTAAGCATACATTTTATTTATATTATCTAAAAAATAATATCTATAATAATGATATAAATTTATAAAATAGGCTATTTACAAAATGAAGCTTTTTCTCTTTTGTTCTTAATGGACTTGGTAAAGCTATGAACCATTTGGACATTTCTTGCAACCCAGTATTCTTAGTTTCGGAATTGGTTAAATATAATGCTGTAATTTGTTCGTTCCGATCTGAAAAATAGAATAATCTATAAATTGTTGCTCTAATTTTTTACCATTATATTTTAATATTGCATTGAAAATTATAATGCAACTACCTGCTGTTAAATGTTATTGTTTGTGATGTCCGCTTCGTTGCAACTAGCACGGTTGGCACATCCGTGACCAGTGCAGTATTCATGCATCGTGGTGCAATTAAGACGATGATGGTCGTTGTACACAAGTAGCATCCATGAATCCATTCCAACCTGGACTTAGTTTGTCATTTAGTTGGTAGTTAACGAGCCATATGGTGTCAGTAAGACAAGCATCTACAACTATTTTTGGTTCAGGAAGGGCTGTACTGACATCTTCTCACACTATTAAAGATGTCCCAGGCTTAGGTGGACGTTGGTAAGGTGTCACTGGCTAAAAAGAAGTACACATTCTGCTTTTGGGATTGTAGATCGTGGCACAGGAGCACTTGCATTGACACATTTTGCTGGTGTTATGCACTGAATGTTTCCCATGGCGTGAAAAGTTCCATTCCCATCTTGTAATCCATGTTTTAATGTTGTAATCCACGTTGTCGAAGGCAAACTGAACGTAAGCGCCGTCATCTATTGAAGGTGAGATGTCATCAGCTATCGAAGTCTCAAAATTGACGACCTTCTTCCTTCTTGTATGTCAAATAAACTCGTGGCTGCGATGGAATGTCTAACAGCAACTTCGAGCCATACCGTCTGTAAAGGAGGTCGAGCAGCAGGGGCGATATGAAAGATCGTGGTAGAGCTCCAGCAATAATTGCTTGAGCGATATTAGTTGCCTTCCTCTTTAAAGCGTTATCATCTTTAAATGGATATTATATTTTTTATATTTAACCAAATCCAAAGACTAAGCATTGTGGGTTGCAAAAAAATTCAATAGGGTTAATGGCTTTAACAAGACCATTAAAATACCCCCGCCACAGCAAACCTGCATACTAAGCGTATTTCCATTTGCATGATTGGATTTACATTTAAATGTATCGTTGAAAATATCATATTTATACATTATTTAAATAGCGTAAGTTTAACGAGTACCTAGGTTTGCTGCAACAGGGAGGGTAAAAAGGGGTTTTTTGTTCAAATTAATAGTTCAGTATGAAATAAACGGATTTTATAAATTTCATCAAAATATGCTCATAAAAAATCAAAATGCAACAGTTAACTTATTCTCCATAAGAATAGCATAGGAATTTAAAATTTTTTGAATTTTCTCCGTAAACATTAGGCACATAGTACCACTTCAAAGTACTAAATAATTAAGCTCTACAAAATATTTTGGAAAGAAATTGCTAATTGATGGTGTTAGGGTCAAAAATGAGAAAACACCCGTTCCCGTTGTCCGATCATATGCTGATTCGCGAACTCGTTCAAATAAATTTAGGTTTACACGTTTATACCAAATTCCATCAAAATCCGATCATTTTTGCTCGAGTTATCGTGCTAACAGACACATACATAAATATAATGAATTTGAACGGGTGGTGCTTTTGGCCTATAGGGACGTCAAAACGAAAAAGTAAATCGGTCCCGGGTCAAGGTCTTACCATGAGTACTACGGTTATAGCTTATAATAGCTTCCCTACATGGGAAATTTGCTAAAAAGAGATAAAGCTTAGTTTTTGTAAATATTTTGTAAATTACTTATATCATTATTATAGATTTTTAAAATATAAATAAAATGTATGCTTAGAACATATTAAACTCTTTAATTATATATTACCCTTATCCATGAGTCCAAAACATTTAATTTGAGACATAAATAAGGCATTTCGGACAATTAATTCAAAAGATACAGTAACAAATCTAAATTTCCAAGATGGCGGCCGTTCCCCAACTCGGATTTCTTGGGACTTTGAGTGGGCCACTCAGGACATTGTTTTGAACATTTCCACAAATTTTCAGCGTGTTATCAATTTTGTCCGGGTCAAAACCTAATTGCACTGGACTATATATTCATTTTTTCAATATCTTATTTCAATACTCCTTGACTCACACTTGAAGCACTTCAAAGATTCGCACAATGGTTTAGAAAGTAAGTGTAAGTCAACAATAACATTTACACTCCATTTATTGTTATATTAACTATATTTTAATGTCCAAGTTTCCCAATTTACTTTTAGAGGTACTGAATCCTGTAAAAAAAAACTCAAATTGTTTATTATCCAAAGTTAAGTCCTAGTCTGGGAAACCGAACCTTACCTGTTAACAAATAAGCTGCAACAGTGATGCCTATATAATAGTATTGTTTGTTAACTGACCATCCACAGACACAATTGTGCTGTTTTGATAATTTGAAACGAGTAATTCACGACCAAAAAATTATTGCACTGCATTGCATTGCATTGAAATATTTGCTTACAGTTACAGCTTGAGAGTCCACGAGGCTGATAAAAAGACTAAATACGTTGACATTATAGTTCATAGTAAAGTTATATATCTTTCCAGACTCGCCGTCTGCCTTCACACCAAGGCTCGGCCGAGAGTCCAACGAAGACTTCTCCGAAGACTACGACAGTAACAAGCATCTCCATGCAGAGCGAGTGTAGGCAGAGTAGTGTACGGCGCTGGCTACAACCCCTCTGTAAATCATTTGAAAATACACGCTTACATCAATGTTCATAATTTTTTAACAAGTCTCATTTATTTACCAATTATCTTATTTTTTTAGCATTGAGATGTTTTCAGTCTTAGGACGATCCAACAAGTGTTGTGTGTATTTCTTGTAAAAAATGTCGACCAGTTTCCTAAGCAGAGGGGTACTTTAACTTGTACATACAAGCCTATGTTTAGTTACAAAATATCATGCTGTAGATTCAAATAAAGCTATTTTGTTTCAAGAGTACTTCAGGATTTAACAACCATCAGATCCATTCCCGCAACCCCAACCTTTGTCTTCATTTGTTATATGATTCGTTGATAAACAGCCTTGTGATAACGTTTATCCTGTCAAGTGATTTAACCCAATGAAATTCGATTATTTATATTCAAAATAATACTACATTTTTTATCAGAGTATTTTAATGCTGGAAACCCTAAACAAAATTTGTCCTTTGCATTTTGTATAAACCCGTGCATTTCTAAGCTGAAAATGACGTTTTATTGTTTGTTTTTTTACTAAGTATAGGTTTAACAGGCTGAATATTAAAAGAGTCAGTTGTTAAAAATATTAAGACAGACAAGACTTTAAAAAGACAAAAATTAGTAGACTTGACAAAAAAGATGTGTATTTAAATTGGATAATGTTTACAAAATCATAATAATACATTTTTTATGTTAGTTCAATTAAATAAGAAAGAAGGCAGGCATGGATTATTACACCGCCCTTTATTTGTCAAGATCTGTGTAATATACCTGATGAGACTGCTCGTAAAACTCTCAAATGAAAAAAACCGTATCCTTTAGAAATCCGTCATTGCTTGTGTTGTGCAGACAAGTCATTCTCGATGGAAAGCACTGCATTGTGCAGCTATTTGCCCCATTTAAGAGACTCTATTCCAGAACCACAAAACAATTCATCTGCCAGAAAGACAAGATTTATAGTACATACAATATCGCTACTATGCCTGGTTGGATACTGGTTACTTGTGCCTATTACCCTTGAGATGAAAATGAATTATAAGTAAGAAGTTTTTAGGGAGCTTTTGAATGATGATGAGAAGCGCATAGGGCAGTTATAAACACACAGTTAATTTTGACATGATCATAAATACATTTATTTATTTGTTGCTTGTAGCCTTGTGCCATTTATTAATCCTTTTCAGTATTTTAATTTTTCATTAATAAAACTACTGCTCCGGATTTTACAATGATCTTGTGTTTAGGTAGCCCACTTACTTCATCAATGTTTAGGAACTCTGTATGATATTCTAGGTCATCGTTGGTGTTATCACTCAGTATAGTATCGATACTGTCATATGTCTTCAGATCTCCGGGCAGTTTGGATAATACCTCGTTATAGATGAGGTCGCAGTCACTATTTTTGATGGCTAATATCCCTTTTCCTATATCTTCATTCTGTATCAAAATATATTGGTGAACCAACTCCAAGCAGTTTATTAGGCAAAATTGGCATATCATCATGTGATGAGCCATTTCCAACCTGACACAGAAACCGTGCGAACTCTCCCTCTCCTTCTTTCAAACGCATATTCTTTTCCAATCTCAGTTTTCTTATTTTAGGCCACAATGTGTTGTATTATAGACAATTGTCTATCATACCTTTGCGTCCTGCATGTGGATAAACAGGTAACGATTGCCGAAAATCTCCTGAATTTTTGATGATTAAATCGATAATCACTTTTTTATCCCCGTTTGCCTTAGCGTATAATTCTTCGAACTCGATACGTTTATTATGGCCATCTTCTGGGTTTATTACTCTATTCATGCGATTTGGAACGGGTAAACCAAGGTCTCGGCAACATGTGTTGTGAGTGAGTAGAATGTCTTCATCTTGAATGAGCGTTCGATTATATGCCTCTTCTTCCGTCAGACCTTGATGTTGGAAGTCGTCTATCATGAACTCATTCCAAAGATTAGCACTCTCAATTGGTACATTTATTCCGAGTAGCCATCCAAACAGATTTCGTGTTTCATTTGGAGTTGCATGGAGAACAGCTTCTTGAAGATTGTCTCTACTCAGTTGTGAGCTTTCAGCTATACCTCTTGCAATTGTTGCTTCCCGATATGTTTCATAAACAGTTCCATTGAAAGTGCGAATGTCTTGGAAGCTTTGAGCACCTTTTTTTTTTAAAGCAGCAAACATAAATGGAAAAGTTCAATATTAATGTCCCCATTTAAAGTTTTCTCTAATTCTTACCGTTTCCGATATCCCAATGGTGGCCTCCTTGAGTTGATCACCCTGTATATATGTTCAATAACATTGTACAACACCATTAACATTTAAAATCCACATCTATTCACATGTATTTTCTCAAAATCGAGCGAGGTTTGCACGTGAACTCGGGCGCGCTCCTGGCCGCGGACACTGCCCCAAGAGCCAAGTTCGCGGTCACGAGACTGGGGAATCCCCAGGTGGTGACGTCACCGGGTACGAGTATATACAGGGTGATTGATATAAGTGTGCCAGCCGTTTTATTCGAAATCCATAAGAGATATCAAAAAAAGTTAAATTGTAAGTGCCTTGGACTTTTTATTTAAAAAATTGTAGTAAAGCCGAAAAAATTATTTTAGCCGCCATTTTTCCAATATGGCCCCAAACTTTTATTTTTCTTATGGAACACTCTGTATTTTATGATGTATTCTGGTAGAAAATGTAATTTTAAGACGATTTTATTCTTGTGATCTTTTTCATAAATCTAACTGTTTCAAAGATAATAATGGTTTAATTTGTGAAATTTTGAATGGTTTTCGAATAAAACAGCTGGCATGCTTGCTTAGGGCTTTATCGAAACTTTTTCTCATGCAGAAAATTTCAAAACTTTAACCATTATTATCTTTGAAGGTTTATGAAAAAAATCACAAGAATAAAATCGTCTTAAAATTACGTTTTATACCAGAACACATCATTAAATACAGGGTGTTCCATAAGAAAAATCAAAGTTGGCGGCCATATTGGAAAAATGGCGGCTAAAATATTTTTTTCACTTTACTACAATTTTTTAAATAAAAAATCCAAGGCACTTACCATTTAACTTTTTTTGATTTCTCTTATGAATTTGAATAAAACGGCTGGCGCACTTATATCAATCACCCTGTATATAGAAGTGACATTCGGGTGATATTTCATTCTGGAGCATGAGGCCCACCTGTCAACACTGCTCTGCGTCGCTCTCTAAGAGGAGCCACTTGATCCGCCATTAACAGTTAATACATCAAATGAAGGTGAAACTGTGCAAGGCTTGTGATTTAATCTGTGATAATAATGTGGCTCTAAAATCGCATATATTACAAAGTCATAAGAATTGTAATTTTTGTAAGAAAAATGTTGTTGGTCATTTTAAAAGACACGTCAATTCTTGTAATAATTGTCCATATACCATGATTGTATTTGTTAGCGAATCGATTAGAACTGAACTTAAAAATAGTCTTCAGTCTTGTCCTCTGCCAATAAAATGGACTTAAGTAAGGAGAATTAAATTTATAAAATATTCAATGGATCAAAATGGACAATTAGTCAATGGAAAAGAATGTATTGCAGATTTTAGAAGCCTTACTACCTTAACTATTGAGAAGAGAGATTTAAAGCCTCAAATTGACAATGCTCTTTTAAAGATTGACGCATCTATACACAAATATCAAGCCCAAGGCAGTGGATGGATATATGACCATACTAAATATTGGCAGCTGCATGTTTACAAGTATAAGCCCTTAACTCCAAAGTCATATATTCCCACACCAGAAAGTATTAAATTGACAAAGGCAGTTCTAAATATAAAAAATTTAGACAATAAATGTTTCCTTTGGTCGGTATTAGCAGCTTTATATCCAAGGAACTCTAAAGAACATGCTTATAGAGTCTCTAATTGTTTACTACATGAAAGTCAATTGAGTATGACAAATATAAAGTATCCTGTGAAAATATCTGATATAGATAAATTTGAAAAACAAAATAATATAAGTGTTAATGTATTTGGAGTTGAAGATCAGAAATGTATATATCCATTAAGAACAACCAAACTAAATAGAAATACTCACATAGATTTATTATTATTACAAGAAGGTCGTAAATCACATTACTGTTTAATTCGTGATTTTAAAATGTTTATGTTCCACTCTACAAAACACGACCATAAGAAGCATTTTTGCAAGTTGTGTTTACAACATTTTTACACTAATGATAAATTAGAAGGTCATAAAACATATTGTAAAAACTTTGATGCCCAACGAGTGGAAATGTCTAAACAAGATACACTACAATTTAAAAATCATAAATATCAACTAAAAGCTCCATTTGTAATTTATGCAGATTTGAAATGTTTCATAAACTCTAACAACCATACTCCATCTGGATTTGCATTCGTTGTAGTAAAAGATTCTACAATTATTTCTGAAGAGTTATACAGTGGTGCAAATGTCACAGATGTGTTTTTCAAAAGGTTATTTGAGACTTATGACTTCATTAAACGTCAAATGTCGATATATATTCCTCTTGTAATGACTGCAGAGCAAGAGGCATCTTTCCAAAACTCAACGAATTGTCACATTTGTGAAAAGCCCCTATATTCTGATAGGGTGAGAGATCATTGTCATTCAAATGGCCACTACCGTAAAGCTGCCCACAATGATTGTAATTTAATATATAAAGTAACAAAGAAAATCCCACTATTCTTCCATAACTTAAAAAATTACGATGGTCATTTAATAATGCAACACTTGGGAAAGTTTAATCGTAAATTAAATTGCATAGCCAAGGATATGGAAAAGGTCATTTCATTTTCTGTTGATGATTTAGTATTTTTAGATTCCTACAACTTTCTGTTCCTTCCTTATACAAATTAGCTTCTAATTTAAACACATTTAGATTCATAGACAATCCACTACTACAACGTAAAGGTGTATTTCCCTATGAATATATGACGGGACCAGATAAGTTTGCAGAGTCTCTACCCCTAAAAGAAACATTTTACAGTACTCTAACTAAAGAACATATCTCTCCAAATGAATATGAACATGCTAAAAATGTCTGGACCCATTTTAATATAAAGAATTTACAAGAATATCATGATTTATATCTTAAAACAGATGTATTGCTACTGGCTGACGTCTTTGAGGCATTTAGAGACCTGTGTTTAAAGGATTACAAACTTGACCCCATACATATGTATTCACTCCCTGGACTAACATGAGAGGCCTGTCTTAGAATGACTGGTATAAAATTAT